ATAGAATTATTCTTGGTGTGGTGGTTCAACGGAATACGGAACTATGGAATCTCCTATTTTGAACTGTTAGTCAAAATTTACTTGTATTTTTCTCCTTGTGACCTTGTATCTGGCTTTTATCAGTAATTTGTTCAGTTCATTAGAGACTCCTTAGAACCGTTAACCACTGCATTCCTCTGTAGAAACAAAAGCAGAGTAGTATAGCTATATTTGTAGTCATCACATAATGTCTCATAAGTTCGGGCTAGGGCGTCCGCGGGGGAACGGAAAGGGCCGTGCTATAAATGCTCCATCTTGATTGGCTGATATTCTGATCAATCAAGGCGTGCCTCCGCCTTGTCCGTAGTTCATATGCTACACCCACGTACGAACATGGTGCTCGGTTAGGATGAACGGTTTACCCCTGGACAGTTAGTCAGCGGTAGCAGTCGAATGCCGATACCTCCTTCGTAGCTTACTCCTTTTTTGTTTGCAATATCATGTCTATGAATCCTTACCACAAAGGGTCTGTCTGGCATCGAGAGGTGTGATATCATTCCAGACCTCATATCTGCTACCTAGATCTCGCTTCCCACAACTCGATGTCCTGTTTTAATTGGTGATTTTGGTGTGCAAACTCTCAACTAGGTCGACGTGCAAACTGCCCTGGCGCGCAGTGTTGACGTGTGAATGAAAGACGGTTTCAACGTTTCCGGAACTAGAACAAAACCATATATGGTGATCGAGCTTACAGAACTGTCTTCATGTGGACTTAAGGCTTTTTTGCCTGATTGGATTTTCTCAAATAACCGCCGTGATGTCCTTTGTTTGCTGACTACAATATCCCATCCCTCGCCCGTTCGGCTGTCATGAGAGGGTGTCACAGCTGAACGGATCAGCGGGATATTTTGGGGCATTACACGGCAACTGATTGAAAGAATGCGTAAACACCTCTGTTGCAGGAGCATCACGAAACCCAACCGTTTAGCCACGTCAAACAATTGACATCGGTCACTTGGTCAATCCAAACGAGTCGTTTCATGTCGTCTACCGAGTACTCAATGGACTGCGGGCATCAGTCCAACGACGTTGCTTGATTGCAACCGAAGCACTCGCAGTGCGATTGCGAAATTCCATGCCGTGCTGTCAGGAACGAAACATACGAGCGCTGAGATTCCCTAGGTCATGTGACGCAAATCGATCAACCCGTCTTCAACTGTAGCACCCTTTCAGTGTCTACCTGCCACGCCACCTGAAGGGAACACGAAATTTGGGGTACTTTCAGGTTTCCCAAGTCTATACAAGAGCAGTCGAGGTGCTGAGTTTGGGTTCAGACCACAGGTCTTCTAGTTATTAAGCTCACACCTTATCTTCTGAGCTACCGCGATCAACCCAGTCGCTCAACGATCCTGTTAACCATCTTACAGTATCCAGGTAGATGGTATTTAACTTTTGCCGACACCCAGTCCGTGTTTCCGCGTTTTATGTGCAAATAGCCTATTTTGTGTGCTCATTTCATTATGTACCAACCTGATAACGAGATCCTGAAAATGCCAACGTTCGTCAATCCCTGAATTTCAAGGGACTTGTGTATCAGAATGCATCACGCCTATAAGATATGGCCTCTGAGCAGCGGAACTGATACGTCCTCGATTCTTCAACAGTCGTTGTCTCAGAAACATCGGCTGAAGCAGGCGAAAATGGTTGTTTGGTTGTGCAACCGGAACTTCAATCGAAGAATGTACCCAGAGCCAAAAGCTTCAGTGGTTTGGTCACGTATTGCGCATGCCAACCATCGTTCTTTGAACAGAACACAGGTCTCCGCACTCATTTTGAAGTGGCGCAAGCAGAGAAATGGTCGGTCTTTGACCTGGAAGGGGGAGGCGAAATCGATCATGAAAAAAATTGGGCACTGTCGCTGCAACTCACTTTCTAGGTGGCGTTCGCTTGATTACCTTGTGCATGGTTGGGGAGGCTGCGGGATATGGGTGCTAATCTATGTTGATTCCGTTGTCAGCTCCTAGTCAAACTGCTTGAGTGAGTGTTTGAATTTCTACGTGCTCTGCTGTCTACTGAGGTATCAATCAGATTTGTCAAGAGAAGACAAGCGACCCTAAGGAAGGTGTACCGGGAACAACTTAACCCTTCCATAAAATGGAATCACATGAAGCAGAACGTAAAAGAGCGGACAGTCCGACAGGACATGAAAGAAAGGCTGAGATAGAGAAAACAAGTTTTCAGTATACAAGATAAGTTGTTAGTGAATTGGGTTTGTTCGTTTGGAAGCAGTCCTCCTGAAGGTAAGCACCTCGGAATGCTTGTGGTGGGCTAGCACCAAGCCCCTTCTCAATCTAGTTTTATTCTTCGCAATAATGCACTCAAACTGGCTGTACGGTAGTGAAGCGTCACTGCTTAATATTGGTGCTGTGTTGTCGACGATGATATTGTTTTTGCGGCAAATGATGATTGCAAAGGTCGTTAGGCCGTGGCATCCTTCTCCTAAATGATGTCCTAATGTGCTTAACTCAATGGTTTCGGAAGGTGTAGGCGCTCCCATCTTGGCCGTTTTATCTTGAGACGTAGGTCATTCGCAATAAGTCCTCACTCCTTTTTCTTTTCACGTTTTACTAATACCTCCTCTGTGGGATTTTTTTATCACGTATGCACCAATTTCTACATATCCATAATCACGATAATGCCAAGGTTGGAAGGTTGGCCTGGAGGTAAATTAAACTATTTCAGCCTTGTGTCGGATGGAGACGACCTAGAGACGGTCAGTTCATGACTTGCCCACGAAGTATGAAAGCCCCGACCGTTCAACTGGGTTGCGTTGGTAACTGTCATCTCCCCGTATGGGGACGGCTGGACAAGACTAACCAATGCTTAATGGCTGTGCCACGCGGTCAGTGGCGGTCGTGAATCAAAGATATCACATTCACTGCATATCTCTCACTCCGCCACTTACCGAACAGGCAGAGCCATTCGATTTCAATGAACTGGTTGGGTTATTGCTTGCAACATGTAAGCTGCAACAGCTGGAACCACTGCACCTCGTTGTAGTTTGTGAGGTAAAAAACTGAACCCTTACTACCAGGGTATCCGAGCCCCTGGGGAGAACAAATGCGGCCCGAAACCCGAGTCTTCACCCGGATAGCTGCAAGCAGCAGTGGCACACTACTACAGTAATCTATGTTTTTAAAGGACAATTGCCGTAAAAGTTCCAACATCCACCTTGGATTATGGGTGAAGTATGTTCTATGGACCAACTTGGTACGGAAGTCAGGAGTATCATGGTTAAATCTCATAGTATACCATACTTAGTCATAGACGTACGCAGAAGTAGTCCGCAGTTGCATCCGGTTCCTGTGATGGTTAGCTCACGCCAGCGCTTTGTGAGGACCGAGTCATTGTCAACAGGTGGATGATGAGGGTATTTCCTTGGCTCCACGGTTTAACCAAAAGATGGGTATGAAATACGGCTACCGGATTAACTCGACTTTTAAAGAGTGTTCGAACTCCAACTACGAAGGGCCATAGGATTGTATTAGCCGTATCCTAAATTGTTACCGTTTTTATACAAGGGACTGTGTGTATTACAGCTTGGATCAATGGGTAAACCAGTTGCAAACCAAGTTAGGTTCCAGCCTCGTCACAACGGAATCATTCATTCAACGGCTACCATCCTTATCAGTTTCATACAAAAATCGTTTATAACCACGAGGACCAATCTAGGGTCAGAAGGATAATTAAGAAACGGATTCACCTGTGTTGCCAAAGAAGCCCTGTAAAACCGGATAATATGTCTAGTTCCCCCTAAGGCCTATATTTGCTCCGAAGCAGGCCGACCTTTTCTCAGGCCAGCTTGTCATGAGCCTTGAGTTCTTGGCGATTTTTGATTTGCCACGTCAACTGATCTGTCGTATTTTTTGTTAAACTGTTTCTATGTCGATCCTTAGGATTGGTTTAGTTCTCTTGAGCCCTTCCAAGTTGTGAAAATTTCTTTCTATACTAGATTATGGCATCCCGAAGAGCTCTCCACTTCGTTTTCAAAATTGGCGACAGGAAACGTAGTATTGATTTTCTGAAGGATGTTTTGGGAATGACGGTATGTTATCATCCTCTTGCTACAATTGTTGAAATTGTTTGTTGCTAATGCGGATTCGCAAATTTTTCGTCAAATTTTTCTGCCTGTTATATCTAAATCCTTTCTGTTGGTTGGACATGATTTTTCTGATGCTACCTCACTTCTGTGAGGCCCTCATACAAAATCCACCATTTCACAAGCATTTTCTAGTCCCCGTTTTTCATGTATTGAAATGAATGGGAAAACTTTTAGGGGGATCATCCCCAGAAAAAACACCCAACCTTATGGTAGGTGCTCTTTTCGCCGCATACCGTTGTGAACTAACTTGTAGATATTTTGTGCGCACTAGTTGTCTATTTCTCATGTTTTCTTCAACTCTAGTAGACACATCTCATCCGTATTGTAAATGGTACAGTTTCCCCCATCCATTGTCAATCGTTTGCCTATAACAACAGTTGGCGTGGACGAAATTACTGGTCATAACACGGTTTACACTCTCGGCATAAAATAGCTACTGGGAGACACCTTGTACTCAATTGTCCGTCCAAAAAAGGAGCCGGTTGGGAAGTTCGCAGCCTCCTGTGCTAAATTTACACCAAAACGCTTTTTTGTCACGCGTTTTATTAGAAGTACACCACTTCAAACTCCGCACACGCAATCAGTTTCTGATGGTATATCAATCAGACTTGTCGCTCAAACCGGAATTGAGAAGACAAACGACCTTAAGGAAGCTGTACTGGAAACAACAATCGATCCATTGTCAATCGTTTGCCTATAACAACAGTTGGCGTGGAACGAAATTACGGTCATAACACCGTTTACACTCTCGGCATAAAATAGCTATTGGGAGACACCTTGTACTCAATTGTCCGTCCAAAAAAGGAGCCGGTTGGGAAGTTCGCAGCCTCCTGTGCTAAATTTACACCAAAACGCTTTTTTGTCACGCGTTTTATTAGAAGTACACCACTTCAAACTCCGCACACGCAATCAGTTTCTGATGGTATATCAATCAGACTTGTCGCTCAAACCGTAATTGAGAAGACAAACGACCTTAAGGAAGCTGTACTGGAAACAACAATCGTTCCGTGATGTGGAACCAACTGAATCAGTGTAAAAAAGCAGACAGTTTAATAGGATATCACGAAATGCTAAAATAGAGAAAGCAAGTTTCCGTTCTACGAGATAAGTTGTTAGCAAAATAGATTTGTTCCTTTGGAGGCAGCCCTCCTGGCAACTCTTCATCGTAAGCGTTGATGGATTAGTGGTGACACGCTCGCCTCGCATGTCGGATGTCCGAAGTTCAAATCCCGGCACAGCCTTTGGATATGCTCTGCTGATGAGCTCTGATAAGAGTGAATTTTGGAGTGAGATAGCTAAGTACTTCTGGCCATTGCCTGGTCTCGCAAAGTCAACTTGAAGCCGTGGTCATTGAATTTCTGGGACAGATCATGAACATAATTTTGTTTTCCGAGGGAATCTTGCATATCGTTGACACTTTAAGCACTTGCATGCAAGTTCTTCTAATTGCTTATCCATGGTCAGATAGTAGACGTAGATGTGTTAGCGTCTTCATGTAGTCTATTTCGGGAGTTCCAAAGTAAAATTGTTTGAGGACACTGCTCTGCAATTCCGGGGGCACAATCACTCTTTCTGCAAAGAGTATGCAACTGTTGACCTCGGAAAGCGAGGGTCAGTATTGGTAGAACGGTTGAAGTTGTTTGTCGGAGCATACTGGAGGCTAGTGTGTGCGGTGGAAGTGGAGTGACAGACCACGAAGTAAAACAAGGTGAATACTCCACTCGTAAGAGTTTTCCATGCTAAGTCCGACTCTAGAGTGAGACTACGTTTTGCGCTTCCCTGCGGTGATCAGACATTCACTTTCAGAGTGCGTATGTTCAGTGTCTAATTTGACATTCATATATCTTCAGTTTGGTCGATGAGCAAATTTCTTTGCTCAGTATTTGTTCTCAGTGTCTCAAGATTATCGATCGGGATACTGAGGACTTCATCTTGTATGCCGGTGTGACCAACAAATAATGTCAGTGTTTCTAGATCAGTACCATGACTGAGGATCAATTCATCTTCGTGACTGGCCTTCAGCTGTCGCACAGTGGAGCTATTCGGACCCGGCTACTGCACCGACCTGAACAGGACCCAGAGTTGACACTTCAGAAACTTAGCACAGAGTGTCAGTATCTTATCAATCTCAAGGCTGATATTGAAACGACTGGACATTCCTAACCCTCTCAGCCTTACATGTTCTGCACAGTAATCTCCAAAAGGCAAACAAATTCTGAATGGACCACAAGAAAACCGCCCACGCCATTGGTTTTTGGCGAATGGCACTTTTCATGCCACTCCCTACCGGCAACACAGGTTGAAAGAATTCACGGAGGAATGCTACAGAGACAACCTTAGGAGGTCGCGCAAACACCAGTCTGACAAAAAACATACTCTGGTTAAAATCACCCAGTAGACAAAAACTTGTCGCAGTGTATGCTGACGTCACACCGGTTTCCCCCAAAATTGATTCAGGTTCTGACCCCACTGATTTCAAAACGAACGTGGAACGTAATTGCAAGGCCACCAGTAGAAGATAAAGTGCACCGTTGGTACTGCGTATGGCAGATGACTGAGACTAACCGGGAAGTTGAACTGCTCCGTGACGTTCAACCGGGTTCAGTTCAGTAGTGCTTGCGACATCAACTGTACAGGCCTAGATTAGATTGATGAGCTTCGACTCTTGGTGCAACCCCTTAGTATCGTTTGTAACGGAACAACTGCAGACTTTGTAATACGTTCACGGGAGCACCACATCTTGAGGATTTTGTGGTCGCTACAGTTACAGCCAAACCGAAGACCAGTCGGAGTATACGCAACATACCGGCTGTTTAGCTCGTGACGTCCGACACTGGTAGCCGTCTCGCGGCAGTCCGATTTGACGAATCCTGCCAGCAGCCTGCAACGTAATGCCCACTCTCCCCACCCTTCAGTTCACGGTCCCATGTTCAGATGGATGATTCCACCGCTATCTAGAAAGTCAAGAGGGAGAGACAAGCAGTAGGGATACCGCAGCAGTCACACAGACCAGATGCTGATTCAAGGAAATGATTAATGCTGCCGAAGGCTAGACAGATCAAGGTGTCGTTATACCTAATTTGTTTTGATCAATCTTCGCAACCGCCTGCAACACCACACTAGCGTTTCACATGCATTTTCACTGGATTAAAAGTACCATATATAGTTGAACTAGCTTCTGAACTTACTGTTCTCAGGCCTCGATCTCCCTTCAGTCGTGAACTGTGATCACTAGAAACGATTTGTTTTAATGCCCAGTGCTTATCAGTGAGGTGATTTGCTCATATACCACTCAACGACATGACGTTTCATATATATTTTTGACTGCCACCATACCTGTGGATATCTGAGTTCTGTGAATCTGATATACCTCTCCAGAACACTGTCCGCACAAACCTATGACGCAGGATCACCTCCCGATTTATAGGGACTTCATACCCAAAATACTTACAGTAAGGTCTATATACTACAAGCAGCTAGCGAACTGCACACCAGTAATGGTGAACCCAAACAACGCTCAAACGACACACCAAGAAACGCATATAAATGTCAGATGACATCTAAAGACTCGACCACAGGAAACACGCACTGAACATAATAGATTTTGGAAATGTGGTATTGCTGATGCAAAGAATAAGAACCCTCGGTTGTTGATCTGTTCGCTGAGCTTAACAGTTGGATTGCAAACTTTTCATCACCAGTCGAGGTGACGACGTCAGTACAGGGCTGAGTGGGTGAATTCCTCCTCTTTTGCCTGTGATTATACATCTTTTAAACAACACCTGGTAGTTCTGGAAACGGTCTTCGAGTAGTTTGACTGGTCTCCTGTGAATCTGACATGGTCTCAATCTCCTGTGTCTGTTTTGTTCGTTGGGTACATTCAATTCGGCAGTTCTGTTGTGATTCGGTCGTCTTCTTGCTTTGTGGTGTCAGTTTGTTCCCTTGATTGGTTGATTTAGCGGCCTTCCGTTTTTCAGTGATTGTCTTCCTTTGGTCCAATTAGTCAGTTAGTTGTCGTTCGGTTTCTTGGCTCAGAGTCCCGTGACTGTGTGGTTCCTTTGCTCGTAACGGCTGATAGACTGGGTCAATGTCGACGTGTTTATTGATCGATTTTTGTGTGGAGTACCACGCCTGGTTAAATTTTTGCTCCTGTTTTGTTCTTGCATGAACAAGTATTTGAACATTGTCCCAACTGAACTTGTGCCCTTCTCTGTCTTCGTGAATTGAGACAAGTGACATTGGATCTTGTCTTCTGCTGGCAAGCTTGTGTTCGTGTATTCTGGTAGCAGGTTTTCTTCCCGTTTGGCCAACATAGTGTCTATCACAGTCGGCACACTTAAAAATCGATCAGTAAACATATCGACATTGACCCAGTCTACCAGCCGTTACGAGCAAAAGAACCACACAGTCACGGGAGTCTAAGCCAAGAAACCTAACGACATCCAAAAAGGCAAAACAGGGGGAATTCACCCACTCACCCCTGTACTGACGTTGTCACCTCGATTGGTGATGAAACGTTTGCAATCCAACTGTCAAGCTCAGCGAACAGACCAACAACCAAGCAGTGCACCCGAGCTACTTACATCCCACAGCGTTGCTAATAAGAACCCTGTCATTGTGGTAGATGACTGAGGCCGCAGAAACCGCCATGCATTATTACTGGGATAAGACGGAGGACGTCGTATGGAAAGCGGCTTTAGGTCAGCCGATTATCAGATCTAAACTGTAAAACCCAACCAGTTTGAAATCTACTTGGTCTGTCATTTCCCAGTCTGTTTGTTCTATCAATTCCTTACCCAAACAGCCCAACGAAAATTCCGAACGACACCGAAGAGTGATATTCAACGAAAGGGTTTCTAAACCGGGTTACCAGGACACCAAATTCATTTATATTAATGTTTGCTTATTCTCAATTGTCGGCACCAGCCAGCAGTTGGAAGATATCTCGTTGCATGCTTTTGGGTTTATTTTAATTCCCAAACGCGGTAACTTATTTACTTGACCCGAAGCGAGATGGCCGAAGTGGTGAGAGCGCGAATTTACTGACCGGAAGGTCCGTGGTTCGAATCCGACCTCCGCCTCTCGACTTCCCCTGTCTAGGCTTGGGCAACCTGGCAGTATCCCAGCCCTCGTGCAACCTTCGGGTGGCATGGCAGCTAGGCAGCGAAAGGGAGCTACAGCTGAATGATTTTTTTCTGGCCTGAAGCATCCCTTAAGATAAACGCGAAACGCTGCCTAGTAATAAATCCACCAGCTGTTTACCAGATCTTTCTGAAGTGATGGCTTCTCGATCGGTTCCAAAATATTTTCCAGTTGATTGAAATTTTGCTTATATTCTGAGTTCTTACCAGTCCGCGAGAAAGATTATTCTATTGCGTTTTAGAGGTTTCAAACAAAGGGCAGTATGATGTTCGCTTATGAGCAGTTGTAAATACTGTTGAATTTATGCTGACTTCATTATCGTTTGAATTTTCTCCTTTCGGTGGCCTAGTGATACTGGGTAGTTTAGACCAAAGCAGACGTTCCATCTTAGTGTCACATTGGGAGAAAATTAGTGGCAGTCGATTCTAGTGGAGTATGATACAGGGCTTTCGAGGTCTCATCGCAGTAGGCGTGCACCATAAATGCATTTTTTGTATTGTCATAGTCACCGTGTGGCTCTGTTCCCCTGTGCATTTTCTTAGTCCTGTAAAAAATCGTTCAGCTGTGGCACCCTTTCGGTGTCTAACTGCCATGCCACCAGAAGGAGGCACAAGGGCTGGGATACTGTCAGGTTGCCCAAGCCTAGACAGGGGAAGTTGAGAGGCAGAGGTCGGGTTCGAACCACAGGCCTTCCGGTCAGTAACCACTCTAACCACTTGGGCTATCTCGCCCCCCTTAGTCCTGTACTGCAAACTTTCAAAATTTGTCGAACTTTCTTTTTGAATCATATTGTGTTGGTACTGCTATTGCGGTTGCCTTATTTTCTCTCAGGAACCATAAGACTCGATCCTTTCAGCATAGCTTGTTTAGGGATCTACTACTAATTGTTTGGATTATCCGACCACCTCGCTTTAATCGTCTTGTCTGGGCATGGTACACTGTCACCAAATCGATCCATCTTCCTTTTGCCGTTCACTCACCAGGTACTGCGCCATGAAGAGTTTGCAGAAGGATGCAAGGCTTTTTGTAACGGGTAAGAAGTGTTTTGTGTATTCTTCCCTTCAGACCTTATGACGGAAAATGGAGCAAAACTATGATTGGTTACGGTCCGGAGGACAATCACTTCGTACTGGAACTCACGTACAATTATGGCATCGGCTCTTACAAAATGGGAAATGACTTTCAGGTAGGGAAATCCCCGTATTCGTCTTCCATCCAATCAACTATTCACAGTATATTCAAATCGATCAGCCCGAGGCGTTTAGCCGTTTGAAGAGTGGATCGTGGCCCATCATCTCTTCGTCAACCGAGTGTGTGGAAACAGAAATGCCTGGTGGCTATCGCTTTCGCATTTACAATCGTGAACCAAACGGTGACCCGGTCAAATTGGTTGCTTTGTCCTCTTCTGTACTACAACGGTCAATCGGTATTGTGGTCATTCCACAGTAATCCCCTCCGATCTGCTTATTTTATAGACTACTGGTCAAGAAAGTGTGGAATGCAATTGTTATCTTCTACAGATACAGAGGCAACTTTATGCTTTGATCCAGCGCAGTGTCACCTGAAATTGGTTGCTATTAACCAACTTGTGGATCACGCAAGTGCGTTTGGTCGAATCGCTTTTGCATGTCCCAAGAAACAGGTTTGCTTGGATTTGATGGGTAATGCTATTTTATTCTAGCTTTTAGAGTTGCAGAGCCTTATGGACGCGGAAAAAGAAACCATCTTGAAGCGTCTGGTCAGTCTAGATACACCCGGGAAAGCCACAGTTGAGGTTATCATTCTCGCGGATCCTGTAAGCTTTGAAACACTATTTTGAATAGTATTATATTTAATCTAGCTGTCGTTTTGTGTTACTGCTTGTTTTGGAAACAGTTCATCTGTTCCGGCTGTGTAGATTTTTAGAACCCTCATGTTTCTAAATAGACCCAACACACGGCATTGATGATGTGGCATTCGCAATATTTGCACCGTTTTTTAGTGAGAACTACGTTTCAGTTATTTTTCAGTAGAAAAGGGTCATCATAGGGCAGGAAACAGATTTGTCTGGTTGAAATGCGCTACTCAAATCATGACGAACCGCTAGAAGAATTAAGTATAGATATTCCATGAAAGTCACCAAGAAGGAAATTTTGATCGGGAAAAAGCTGTTGAAGAAACCATTCTGTACGCATCTTTGTACGAGTATCTAACATATCTGTATCCCTCTCCCTCCCAAGGAATGCGCCGGAAGTTTGTAAACATAATACGTTCTTTGTATTCTCAGACTTCCGGACGTGTGAGAGTGTGTGGAGAGCTCTCCAAAAGCTTCCGTGCACAAAGCGGTGTCCGTCAGGGATGCCTACTCTCTCTCTCCATTCCTTTTTAACTTCGTGATCGATGAAATAATGAGACCAACGCTGGAGGGTCTCCAAAACTCTGGTGTTCAAATAGCCTGTGAAGAAAATCTTGTCGATCTGGATTATGCAGACGACATCGTTCTCATGTTCGAAGAGGAGGAACAGGCGCAAGTATTCTTGGATGAACTGACCA